TTACTTGTATAAATAATAAAATATTTAAACAAAACATGTAAAAAGTTGAAAAAAATTATTTATATAAATAATTTCTCGGTTTAGCCGAGATTGGAACTATTTTTGACTAATTTAACACAGATTTGAAATATTTCGGTTGGAATCTCGGCTAAAGAAATTTATAATAGTTTGTGTCTCAGCTATGCCAATTTTGTTAAAATTTTAATTAAAATTGCCGGGTTTCTCTCTTTCTTTCTCTCTCGGTTTGACCGACATTCGAACCATTTTTGACTAATTTAGCACAAATTTAAAATATTTCAGTTCGAATCTCGGCTAAAGGAATTTAGAATAGTTCGTGTCTCAACTATGCCGATTTTGTTAAAATTATTTAACTATATCTTGTATTCAGTTTTATTTCTTATGATTTTATTTTTGTTGCACTTATTGATGATAGGAGTGAATACATTAAAAAACTATAAACTGGCCGTGAAACTCAAAGTGGGCCAAAATGAAAAAATATACCTAAATAGACCTAAATATTTTTTTGTATTTTTACATTTGTGTCAAATTAGAATGAAATCGGAGTACCTTTTTTAAATCGGTATCTTTTGGGTAGGTTTATGTGTAAGTGGAAAATTCAAAGCTTTCTTGATATTTTTTCTTTCTGGTCATTACATTAAAATTGAACACATGTTGATTTTTGAAAAATAATTTCATTTCTCAGTAAAATAATCGAAATGTGTTTTAAAAATATATATACTCTCTCTTTCTATGTGTTTTTTATTCTATTGAATAATTAATATAAAAGTAAGATTGTTTGATATCAAAAGTTCTGAACAGAAAACCCATATTTGGAACAAAAATGGGATTATCAATTGACACACAAAGAGAATTTTATAGTGAACATTATTATAGAATTTTGTAATTAAAGATCGACATTGTGCAGTAACTGACTTTTCATTTCATATATACTAAAAAATTGCTGTTTCCAATGAAGTTTACTATGCAAGGTTATTGCTTATTCTTTAGTAAAATTTCTGCGTTACTTATGAAAAAATTGAAACAAATTTACATAAAAAGGAATTACGATATTCTTTTCATGTATTGTGAATAATCAACTTTGGGATGGATTCGGGTCTTTTAATTGGAATTTATGCTGTATGAGATAAATTTGGGAAATTTCTGTAACGGATGAACTACTAGCATTGGCAACCTGAGGTTAAATACAGCCTCTTGTCGCGTCGGAACTCAGACTGTCGACATTAAATTCGATGGTGCGCGCGACGAGCTTTCCTGAATATTAGGAAACGCACGGGGAGAGCGATCGCGCGACGCCGATGTGGCAAAAGGAACGGAAAGAGGGAGGAGGGTTTTCTGTAAAGGACGGGATTAATAATCTTATTCATGAGTGACCGCAGGCCGGCGCCGAAGAGCGCCGCGCGCTGTGACGGAACCTCCGTTAGTTCCCACCGAAGCCGAGCTACCTGTTATCCTACCTGCTAAATTATGTTTTTTAATTAAATCCATCGTAAAAGAGCGGCGCGCCTGTATACCTCTCTCTTGCCGCCCTCTTCTCTCTATCACTTTCTCTCTTTTTCGCTCTCTTTTTCCCTCTGCCCTTCTCGCGCGTCGCGTTACGAAAGAGCCCGATCGTACGTCCGAGAGTGTCTACGTCGGGTAACCGTGGCTCCAGGCCAAAACAGGGAGCTATCCAAATTTATTCGGCTATCCCACAGCCCGAGAGGCATCTCCTACTTTGTCTCCTTTTTGCTTCTCCTCCTCCTTCTCCTCGCGTCTCAGCGTCTACTTTTTTTCGCCACGGACCTTCGACAAATTTCAAATCGCCTGTGGACCCTAACGATTTCCGGGTAAAGTATTAGGGACGTAAGTCGACCATACGAGCTGTGCTCGGCGCACATTGCACGATGTTCCTATATTTAGTATACTTCCGGGACAAATTTGATTTTAATCGATCGCTGATCCCGTTCGCGTGACGCAGGCAGTGGAGAGGAGAACCAGACTTTGCTGGTGCAGGAAAGGCGAATGTGTGTGAACAAGGTAGCGTTTTCCGTTTGCGATCAAGAGGAACGCTAAAATATTGGCAGGCGAGAGGGAGAGAAAGAGAGAGAGAGAGAGAGAGAGAGAGATAGAACGGCTTCCAATTCATTAGCCCTCGTAAATCCGCCGCCCCCGCCGGCGTTGAATATTAAGCGGGCATTACGCGAACTGGTTATAAGTCGCCGGCCAGTTAACACTGCTACCATCCCTCTGACCTTCCGCACTCCGCTATGTGCGCGCGGTTATTCCGATTATATATGTTGTGCATATGCACACACACATATGGTTATTACCCGACGATCTCTTGCGCGTCTCGCGCCGCCGAGGAAACCCGTCGCGACGAAGGACGACGACGTTGATGACGGGAAGCTCGGTAACGAGGACGCCGGGGCGATCGGTTTCCGGCAAAAATCGCGACTCGTTTTTCAAGCGTTACGTCTTCATTAGGATAATGAGGGCGGCGTAAATCTCGAAGAGCGGCGGCGGCGGCGGCGGCGGCGGCGGCGGCTGTGCGCGCGAGCGAGCGAGAAAGAGGAAGAGAGAGGGAAGAGAAAGAACGAGCGGTGCACTCCCAGAATGCCTTCGTCGAGGGACGGAAGCGGCCCCGCATTTGCATAGAGTAATTTAGTGCTACATAAAATTCCGCAGCCAATTAGCGCCGGAGTGTCCGATCTATCGCCCGGCTAGTCGTTTACCGCGTTCGCTCGCCGCGGAACGATCCTAATTTGAGAAGACAGCGGAGCGACCCCCTTATGAGCGCGAGACGGGGACACACTCGTCTCGTCGCCGTCCCCTTGTCGTGCCCATCTCCCCCTTACCCCCTTTTAAAAAGCCGCGTCATCGCGAGGCTTTTATCGTCCTATATGAGTTTTTACTGTCAGACAAGATTGTACTAACCGCTTTTACGTCTCCAGCCGGGCCACCCGCGCTAATACTCGCGATACTCGTCGGGGCAAACGACGTTTCTCTTTTATGCTTCGGATACGCCGCGGTGATTCCGCGAGTAATCTCGAATTGCGCCTAATTAAGATACCGATGACGCGCGGCCGACGATGCCGGACGGATACAGAAATGCGCGCGGATTATCTTGAATACATTGTCCACGTTACGGTGGCGCTTCAGTGTCATTCGACGTGCGTTGCGAGAATTTTCGAATTCCTTTTTGGAATTCGAAAATTTTTTTATTCTAATTAGTAAACTTATTGGAAAATTTCCAAATTTGGTGGTATCTGTAAAGTTGTTGAGATTGATGAATTCGTTGATTAAATTAGTAAATTTATTGAAATTAGTGAACTTGCTGCAATTAGGAGAGTTAGCGAAACGGGCAAATTTGTTTGGAGCTAGTGAATTGGTTAAAATGTTAAAATTGTCCATATTAGTAAATGCGCTGGAGTTAGTAGATTTATTGAAGTTAGTAAAGTTATTGCGGAATTAGTAAAGTCGTTGGAGTTAGTGAATCTATGGGAGAGAAAGAAATCAATGAGAAGTTGTGAGATTAGTTCTCGAAATCAGTCGTTAAAATTCGCTGAGATTAGTTGCCATTGAGACGTTGTGATTTTCGCTGGCAGTTGAGGAATTACGCATAACTCTCGCGATATATCGGCGAACGAACGCAGTTCCCGATCTTCTTCACTTCGCTTCAATTTCGCTCTCCGTCGCGGTCGCGCGACTAATTTGTTACACGCTGTTAGTTACGCCTTACACGTAAATTAATGAGACACGTCGGCGGCGGCGTTAGTCGCGCCGGGGACCACCGCGGCGTCGAACGTGTTAATTACGAGCTCCCATAAATAAGTTACCAATTCAGCGCGAGGGGATTGGTGATAACACCGAGTCCGTACACCCATCGTCATTCATTGATTTCGTCTCTAGTAACGAGGTGGGAATTGACGAGAAACAAAGTGAGAGGCGACTGCTACCAACCATCTCGAGCTGGAGCAGTAGCAGCAGCGAAGTCTTTGCTGTGCGGAAGCGGATTGAGAGCGCGGAAAGTGCAAAATGTTGTATGTCGGAAGCCGTGTGCATTAGCATATAGACGCAGTTGCCTCGTGGCGATGGCGATGGCGATGGCGGCGGAGTAGGTAGCCGCCACGAGAGGCTCTTATTTATTAACGATGTATTCTTCACCGCCGTATTTGCTCACTTTGTTCTCGTTAACCCTTTCTCTCTCACTTTTTTATCTCTCTCTCTCTCTTTCTCTCTATGCCTCACCTTCCGCCGTCTGGCGGCGGTGCGGAACTACTACTCGGTTAAATAAAAGCAATTCGACCAACGACGACGGCGGGGGCGGCAAAGAGGGCGATGGAGGCGCGGCGTATATGCGGTAGCGGTCAAAGGATGACTAAGCCGGACAGGTTGATTAACTCCCTGACGCGCTATTCAATTTTTCGGATCCAATCGATCCGAAAGCTCTCTCCTCTTTCATTTTGTGTAACGGCGAGATGGCACGATAACGATGACCTTTTCTCTCGAGAGGCGAAAACTGCCCCTCCATTTTTCCGCGTGCGAATTGGGGACCCAGATGACTTGATGATTGTTACAATATGAGACAATGGATGATGAAATTTATATTATGAACTCTATGTTATAAATGGAATTTTTTAAATTACATGTAAATTTAATGATTGATTCAATTTTCTATATTATATCTATATTATAATGTAGCATGAATAGTTAAGTACACTAAGAGAAAAATATAGTTGCTTTCGGCGTCAACTATACTTTTTTGTGATTTTAACCAGAAAAATAATTGGAAGAACAATCTTTCTAATAACACTTACTAAACAATGGTTCCTCTAATTATTTTTGTGGTTAAAATCACAAAAGTGTATAGTTGACGCCAAAGGTAACTATATTTTTCTCTCAGTGTACAAATGTAATTTTGTTTATTATGTGTCACGCGTTCAATTGCGTCAGCCGCGTTGGATCAAGCGAGCAGTCGTAAAGAGCGTTTTAATTTTCAGAATTGTACGCTCCCTCGTCGAGGAAAGAACCCGACTTCGGTGAGTGTCCCGTAACTCGTGAGAGGACGCGTAGCGACATTAATTTCTGAATAGCGCGACTAGCCCGGGCCAGGAATCATTATGACGCGTGAAAGGTCCATCGCAAGCGGCAGCAGAAGCAGAGCCAGCGTGTGCACCTTTATCAGCCGCTTCTCCTCAGGTAGACACTCTAGTGTACGCGAGGCCCGTCGTTCCCGAACCGATCGCGCTCGCCCTCCTAGACCAGCGACTCTGCCGAAAAGTCGCCCCGTCCTCGTATATTCCCAGTTTTATGGCCGGTCTGCTACACCGGTGGTCTCGGGCGGCGGCTTTCTTTCAATTACGAAAGTTCCACGTAGAATCGACGTGTAAATAGCGTGGACGCGGGGTTGCTCGGCAGAATCATAGGCCGATAAATTAGGACTGTATTAGCATTTAAACGATGGAGCGGTCCACCGACGATCTCGATGACTCTCGATTACGACGAGAGACGCGAAACGAGATAGAGGGGGGAAAAGGAAAAAGAGAAACACCATGATCATCACCCTTTCGTCGTTACTATCATCGATTAAACGTTGAATCGTCCTTCGTCGTACAGGCTAAACCACACGATTATTGACAATCCCCCTTAGTCATTGATACTCTCGAAAAACTCGATCTTGCGACCAGCATTGTAGGTAAACTTCTTGCCTGTATTCTCTATGATTCGAAAAGAACCCCATAACTAAAATCGTGAACAATCCCTTTGTCCGACTAGAAATTTACTCCATTACCTTGGTCAGGTTGATTCTAAAAGTCTTGATTATTAACAATCTCTTAATAATCTTTATTATTAACTTGTAAATTAAGATTACTAAGGACTGTCATATGACTTACCAGGACGCGATAACATCGCTTTATCCAAACTTGGGATTAACCTGATCAGAAACATGTTTAGTTAATTAATAAATGTTTAATTTGTGATTGCAAGAAAAACCAATGATGGGACTACGTTAAAATAATAGCAAAGAAATAGAAAGAAGTTTTCTGTCTATATAATCACGTGTGACAACTCGACGAATCGTTGCACGACAAATCGTTGCACGTGATTGTATAGACAGAAAATTTTTTTCCATTTCTTCGTCTATTTTTTACATAGTTCTATTCACAGATTTTTATAGAGTGGCAATGACTAAGAGGTATGCCAATAATTGGATTCTCTAATCGTGCAGTCTTGAAACTTTGACGTCGTTGCGTTCGGCATTGCCTTCTGCGTGAAATATTCGCAAGGTAGTCGGCTCGGAAGCGATTTTCCCACGAAGGAGGTCTCTCCCCGTCGCGAATTTCCAGTTATCGCATCATCATTACGAAGGGAAATGCTTCGCGGTACACTCGATCGGAGCGTGTTCGCGATTTCAATTGTTTAGGAAGCGATTTCTTTGGTTAGAATGGAACGTCGTGGTGGCGGCGGCGGCGATTTTCCGACGACGACGAAATAGGCAAGGGCGCGTCGTCGTCGTCTTAGTATTTGACGGCATCGCGCGTCGATGAGCGCGACGAGGTAATTACATGCGCACACCCACTCTCCCACGTTCACGGTTCGTGATCTGAATTTCGAAGACGAACTGTGCCTGCCTGTTCGGTGCGACGTACACGCGCGCGGTTTTAAATAATTCATGGCAGCATGTACGAGGCTGTCGAGATCGTTTTTCGCCCGTTGCTCCACGTTCGTGCTGCGAACACGTGTGAGCGTGTGGGTGGTGAGCTGTATGTGTTCCAGCTCTGGAGGTCACGTTGTTGTCTAATCTGTCACGCGAAACTTCGCGATTTAGGAAAAAGAAAATTTCTTGGAACACAATCTCTTAGTTGGAATCAAGTTCATGTTCAAAGTCCGCAATTTCCTCAATATTGTTTTTCTGGTTTTTATTTTATATAAGAATTGAACAAATTATACGTAGACTTTCCATATAATTTTATTACTTATAATAAACACTACCGACATAACCAGAGCAATTTTGATTCGCATCCATTCCATACCTTTCAGTTTTTTATGAGAAGAAATGTAGTTTGCCTGTGCTAGAGGATACTTTAGTTTGTCCATCGGAAGGCGCTACAGTTAAAAAAAAACCTTTCTTTATAACTTATACCAAGCAATAGCTCAAACAAAACATCTCGTCGAATGGATTCATTTCCTCGTGGTGCACTCTGACTAATGCAAAATAACCTATTAATATATATTTATATATATACATATAAATAATTGACCTATGACATCTTGTATCTTATGAACTATAAACTACAGATATATAAAAATATATATATTTAGAATTTACTTGATGAGATCTTTCATCTTTACTTTGCACAATATAAGAAAATGTTTTTTCTCTAACTTTGATGCTCTTCAGTAGGCAAACTAAGACAGAAAAGCGAATATTACCATATTTTTTCTTATAAAAAACTGAAGAGAATAGAATAGGTGTCAATCAAAATCAGTCACGTCAGTAGTGTTTATTGTCAGTAAAATATTTAAAAAATTTACAAAATTTTATTTTTTTATTTTTGATTTTATTTTTAATTGATATTTTAATGAATAACTAATGTTGAGGCAAGTTAGGAATTCTAATCGGAATTTGTGATGTGTCTGGCAAAATCTTGGGAAATTTCTATGCGGGGAGAGAGAGAGAGAGAGAGAGAGACGACTGATAAGACAGGAAGAGAGGAGATCCTCTCTCGCGACCACACACGCCGCCCTTCTTCCCCTTGCTGGCGCAGGCATCTCACCTGCTGCCAGACGATATTGCTTATTCGGCGCATCTCCGGGATACGCGATACGCGAAGCTGCCGTAATTTAGACGCGGGAGCATTTTACGAGACGCTAAGTAGCGTGCCGCGACCGACGACGCGAAAGTGCCGCGGCGCGAAATTCGCGCGGCGCAGCGTAATCGCGTTCACGCGAGCCGATAAATTTACGTTCGGGCGGCTCGCTTGTGATGATCGCCGTGAGTGGCTCTTTTACGACGAAAGGTTACATTGAAGCCGGACGACGTCCGATACGCGACCGCGTTTCGCGCGATTACGAGCCGGATATCTCTCAGTCGGTAGAGCCGACAAGAGGAACGTCTTTCTCCTTCGTGCGGCCGGCTTCTTGCACCTGCAAATATTTACGTTCACTTAAAAAGTCATAAAGAGACCCGCGGCGCGCTTCGGAGTAAATCTGCGGGGCGCGCTCTTCGGAGTGATAACGAGCACCTGAACGACAGTGCTCGCCGGCCTTGAGGAAGACGGCGATTCGCCGTGCGACCATCGTCCACGCTCGACTCTCGAGAATCGACGAGTTCGCCGCGAAGAAGATGCTCCCGGGAAATCAACACTTTACCGCGCAGCGAAGCGGGTTTCACCGCATTCTGTACGTACAATTTAAATGATAATGTTCGTTTTCGCATTTTTGGCTACGAGGAACATAAAAACAGATACTCTCGCGATAGTTCGAGGAAGCGCACCTTCGCGACCGGCCTGTGACGAGTTTATTAATAGCGTATATAAAGCAAATAGTACATAAATACCTGAATATTCTTATTATTTTGGTCTTTAAATACAACTTTTTAAACATATATGAGAGAAACACCATGTTTGGCTTACACATAAATCTGTTCGTGTCAACCAGATTACTGGTGTCTTGTGACACCAGATCCAATATTGAATCTGATTGACATAACCAGATTTATGCGTAGGCCAACCATGCTGTTCTTTTCGTGTAGAGTCAAATCATTTTAACATAGAATATACAGGGTGAGTACGTAAGAGTAAAAGTACCAGTTCCTACCTAACTTTATTGTGTGATACTTGACCTTATGTGTTTGTATCTTAGAATATGATGTTATTCCACTCTATTTTTTCCGCGCGTTCTGCGAGATTGCGAGAAAAAGAGGTGTGTACGCGAAAATTTGAGGGAGGGACCAAGTCTTTTACACGACGTACTACCACCGTTTCCCTCTCTCGCAGGTACGATGATATGATCACCGGTGCTGGCCACAGGCGCACCTGCTTTCTGCGCCGCGGTCACCGTTGTCGTCGTCGGCTCGTCGCCAATCATCATCGTCGCTGATGCCGACGAGATTGGCGTCTAATCGCGACCACCGGCGTGGCAGGTCGCGTTTAGAAACCGCAGTAGATACGCATCTGACGCGCGACTGGTCTGCGGCGCATCGTGATACGCGATCCTCCGCGTTTCTCTCTTTCGGACATTTTACGATTTTATCGCCGGCTTATCGGGGTCGTTCGGCAGGATAAACAAAAGCGCTGCGCGGGGTCGAGCTGCGAGGATAAGGGAAGGAGGAAGAGAGAGCCGACGAAGGTAATTTAGCAGCGGACGACCGCTCGGCGGCGGAATCCTCTCGCGTCTACGCCGTGTAATATAGCGAGCGGGCCGCCTTCGAACGGGGCGACGTGTTACCGACGGCGTTACGGCAACAAACCGGCCACTAAATCACCTTTGGCAGACGACCACGTGAACCCGTTCATCTCGCTCCGACGCAGCTGCCGCTAAAGTAAAGCGGTTAAAGATCCAATCTCGGGGAGCCGCGCTCTCCTACTCTCTTGTCCTCTCTTGTCTTCTTCTCTTTCCTTTCTCTCTTTCTCTACCTTCGCCGGCGCTATAATATTCCGAGCAAAAAGACACATGGTCCGTGAGATCGTAAGCCCGCAAATAGCTCGAGAACTCGCGAAGTCTCGCGACGATTCGCGACGAGGGGACGCGTAGGTCGCGCACCTGCGACACCCCCATAGAATATTTCTTTGGATCTAACTGGATCTAGCCCGACTCCACGAAATGATTATGGCTTCCGGCTAAAAGTGTAATGCTTCAAACGTACGATTCTAAGTGACGAACTCCGTAGTTTCCCCGTAATTTTTTCTGGTCTTCATTTTACATTAAAATTGAATAGAACATATATTGATTTTTCATATAATTTTGATACAATATTTGAAATGTTTTAGAAATAATTTTATTTTTTAATTTTTTATTCTTAGTTTATTATTGGAGTCGCAGTGAATAACCAATTTAGGATCAAAGAAGTGTTTAGCCCCATTTTGCAGCATTCGAAATCTTAAATTATTTTTTGATAAAATTGTAGCTATTCACGAGTAGATTAAAGTTTTATGAATATCAAAGGTCAATGATGCGCATAACTATTTAGGAGAAAA